TCCAGCCAAATCCCCTTTTTACCACTGGCCATCTCTATCCTTTACTCAGTAGTTTATTCTTATAGTGTAAAAACAGACACATTCATTTCTTTAAGTGTGCTTGAAGTATAAAGTGTAAGGAACATTTCGTGTCTACAAAGACATAGTAAGAAACGTCTGTCCTAATAAACCATATTACTACATTTTGTGCATTTCCTTTGGTAACATATACCTTCTTGTGTTTAAGCAGAAAAATTAAATTTGAAACTGCCCCAGCATTCCATGTTGAACTCCATGTACATGTACATTTATTGGTTGATATTAGCTGTTGAAATGGTCCCACATAATGTTAAAAAAATGATAAACTGTAGACATTGAAATTGCTGTTGATTTTTACTTCTACTTTGCTGGTGACACAGAAGCTGTGATTTTATGTTAATCAAGCACAAAACATCTGAGGGTTAAAACCTAAGCAATACAAACACGAAATTCATTCTGTCTCACAAAAAGCACTACTGAGTAATGGCTGAAAGAAAAAAAGAAAAGATTTCAAAGATTCGGCTCATAAATATAAATGTTTTTAAATAGCACTGATTTTGTTTTGCTTCAATGAGCTTTGCTACATAAGATAAAATGTGCCTCATGAAAAAAAACATACAATAATGGTTTTCTGTTTTTACTTGGCTCCAGTATTTGGTGATATTTATGGAAGAATGTTTGGAATTTATCTGTTATCTGTCTTGTGTTCTTGGATTCTTTGCTCTGTGCTGACCTTGAAAGGCATACTTTACAAATCTGCAAAGTAAATGGTAGTGACTAGCGACTAGACTACTTTGCTAACACAGCAGTAATTCGGCAGTGATTCGAACTACAGGGCTTTTCCTCTTTATAAAGGAGCCTTGGCTGTAGCTGCTAGCAACAAAGATGCCAGTTCAGTATCCACTGTCTTTCTGGTTTCTTGTGGGCTTTGAATTACTCCAGCTCAGGATTCCAGCTGTGATGATCTGAGGCACACAACATTGTACCAACATGGTTCTGATGGGAACTAATCATTGTAAAACTCAGTCAGTAACGAAGTGTGCTTCACTCAACCTCTCATAACAGAATGTACAACAGGGATGGTGACCACATTCCCATGACTTCACACCCCACAGATGCTGTATTGATTGCAGTCTGAGCCACAGCTGATTAAAAACATTATCGGCACAGTACTTGGATCGCCATCAGGGGCCTCTGTGGTTGCAATAGTTAAACTGAAAATTGAAAGAACACACTTTCCTTTGAGAGGGAGCCTGTCGCCACAAATAACTTATGCAAGGCAGAAATTTGGCCCAAGTTTGCTTTTGCCAGTGATTACGCTATATTAGCTACAAAGCTAAGATGGTCTGCAACATTCTTAACTGCATGATGGGAGCTTGGCTCAGCGGTATTACTCAAAATGGTGGAATAGCACACTAAGGAAAATAGAACTCTTTAGAATTAGATTTGATGCACATCTGGTACAACATCTCAGAGGTGCTGCAGCCATTATGTGAATGTTAAAGCCATATGTAGATATTCAACAATGCAACTAGACCATAGAAGATTGGTTTCCATGACTCTTGGTATCTACTGTATGTGGTAGCGTTTTCTGTACAATATGTGGGCTAATCACTCTACTATTCATGTGCTTAGGTATTCAGTCTGTCACTTTGCCTATGAATGACAGATCAGCAGGTTCGTAGAACACTGTACACACTGAAGGAAACAGGGCCGATTGTACAAACTTGGGCTGTTTGTTTCAGGAGTTCGGTTGTGTGCCTGTGTTGGTGTAATGTATGCAGGGTCCGTCTGCTTACACTTACATTGGTGCCGTGAGCTGAGCTGGAAATTGGGACACTGTTAACAGTGACATTACTGCCAATCTCTCTGAAGAAATTTCACATTTCCAGCACCAAAGGGCCAGTCCTCTGAGTCAGCATTTTCAATACAGAGTCTAACAGCACGCACTATACGCACACTAAAGAAGGATCTTCATTTTCCCCATCAAATCTCCCCCAACCTGCAGTAGTTTTCAAGCAGGCCCTTTGTCTCCATCAGAGATCATTTGAAAAGAGCTGAAGAGAGCCAGTGTTTGACCAGAGTTGATCTTTGAAAACTTCGCTCATATATCTTGAAAGAGCATCTTTCTCTAGAGTGAAAACACACTGTTCCCTCAGGGAGTCTGTTTGCTTCTGTCCTGGTATCATTGGAGTTGATTTTTCTATTGGCCTCTTTTCTTGAGTTATAAGGCTCTTCTGAAACTGGCACCAAACCTAGCCACTGTTTTTTGTCAGATTGCACAGCCTTTTAGTTATTTGAATTATCTTACTCGGAAGCAGCTAAATTCAGTTAAACACGATTCAAATGATACAAAAAATCCATTACATTCTAAACGTGCTCTTACATATGTGGTGGCACAAAAAAGAGAGATAAAACTGTCCCTTTTGACACTTGTGGTGTGATTTGTAATAAATGCTAATCTGCAATTAAACCCCCATAAACGCTTGTTAAGTGTTTCTGTGCAGTAATTAAATTTTAACACAGGATGGTTGTGATCATGTTGAGCAAGCGATGGTTTGCACCAGTCTTCTCCTGTCTCTCCAGCCTCCTTCAGGGATGCTTTCTGGGATGGAAGGTTACAGAGATAGAAAAGGTGGTTAAGGCATTTGCAGGTGTTGGAAAAAATCCTTCTCTTTTACTTTACTGCAAACGTGTTGTTGCTAGGTAAAGAAAATCAACGCAATTAACACATCCTTTTGCAAGTTAATATCATTACTTGGCAGGCTGATTTAACTGAAAGTTCCCACTTTGAACCACTTGAAAGACACGTTTTTTCTTTTCACGGACGATGACTTCAGAAAGCAGATCAAATGATTATGGAAAAATTTTGCAAAATGTTTTTGTTAAGGCTTATTCCTTTAACCCCTCTTTTCAATGCTGAGGCGCCTTGGTTTTAAAATGGAAAACTACTTGTGTGTGTGCGTGATTTTGATCATTCACAGCTCCCCCTCCACTTGCTCCACAAGCAAGTGGTGCAGAAGTGACAGGGGCGTACATCTCTGTGTGACTGACAAATTCAACCCTGATGTTGCAGTTTTATGTGAAAGCCTTATGAGGAATATTCACGGGGACCCGTTTGGCGATGGAGAAATTATTGTGAGGCCGTGACCTACTGTACAGGATGCCTTTGGCTCCCAGCACTAATGAAAAGCCTCTCCTTCATTAAACTAAATGCCCCCTAATGGGCTGCAATTACACAGAGTGCATTGTCAGATAGAGATTGCCTTTTATTACACATGGGGCTTCTACTATTGACTTCATTAGAAAGGATGCTTTTTTCCTTTCTGCTGGGCTGCACGAATGGGGCCCTCCTGCTGGCTAAGCCCTGGTAAAAGCTTTATACAGTCCTGCACAAAAAACAAAAAAAATCCAGAATTGGCAGCCTCCTTTTAAGTGCTGACTGTTCAAGTCTAATGCAGTCATTTGCTTCAGACTGCTTCACCCCTCACTAAGAAAGGTGAAGCACAGTGCTGTGTTCTTACATGCTCACCCTCGTGGTCATTTTCTCCCTTAAAACGAAACGGGAGGCGTTTGTTCGTGGTCTCTGAAATACCCTTGCTTTCTCCAAATTTTGTTGTATTGATTCCAGAGCTGGATTGCCAGCTTCACGGTTCTTGACATCTAGAGATTCAAATTCCAGGCCCTTTATCTCTTCACACTAGTGCAATACGAATGAGCGTGTTGTACAGCAGATGGGTGAAAGGTGTACAGAGTACAGTACACCTTAACAGAGTCATAGGGGAAGGGGGTATCCATTATTGCCGAATGTCTGATAAACACAAATGAGTAAAGATGCTTTCACTGAAAGTTTCAGTCCAAAAATGCACTATTATATCAGAAATGTGTCTATATTCACACACACTATATATGTAGGCTTTCTGGATCTTTTAACAGATTTTAACAATTGTATTATGAAAAATTGTTTCTGTGCTTTTTTATCATAAATGTACAAGCTTTTTGTATCATGTTGTAAATATGTTGTATAAAATTCGCTGAAGCAGACAAAACACAAACACCCATCGTAAATAAATGACCTAACCCTACAGTGCACCACTGATATTCCTGAATTTTAAATCTCTGTAGTATTTATTTTACCTTGTTTTATTATTTTTGCATTTCCCCATCATTTAGGGGAAAATCCAGTATTTCTTTTAGATGAACTTTTAGCAGATTTTGTCCATTAAATCCGAAGTACGTTAAAGCAAAGCCTGATTAAACCGAGGGTTTACTGTGCCACATTAACTGGCCAGCAGCTCCTTGTAAATCTTCTAGGAACTGGTGGTAATAATTTAATCTTGTCTATTAACAGGAAGTGCAGATAACAGCAGTTTAGAGATTTGCCCTTTCAAACTCAAAGTGAAACACAAAAAGCAAAATTAAGTTTCCAGCTAAATGTCTGCTAGCTAAGAGATTAGATGTTGTTATTTGCTGTATCCATTCATGCACAAACTAAATTTACAGCTGTGACAAAGGTCATCAAATTTATTTTAAAAAGCTTGACATAGCTCAGACTCACTGTATACATTGATCCTTGTCATGTTTAATGAAATAACAATATTGTCTGTTACTTCAATGATAGTCTTGTCAGAAGAGGTGTTGTTAAAGAATGGCCTTAATAAGTCCGGTGCTCTTAGTCACCTCTGATAAGGTCATTATTGTAGCATTGGTTGTCAGTGTATTCCTCTTCCATTGATTTTATCTGCATTTGGACACTGGGGATCAAGTTGCAAAAAATACAATTACTTAGTTTAATCTAATATTTTATCTTAATTAAGCTGATAATAGCTGAGTGCTTTCTCAAATGTGGAGAGTCTTGCAAGAGCTCGCTGACAGTACATTGTGCCCCTGTCATTCTCGAGTTCGTAAAGAGATGCAGGTCTGGAGGGGCTTCTTGTTCTTCGGATACTTTAGTTGAGTAAATAGATTTTGCATTTCCACAGGGGATCGGGCAGGCTGGAAGGAAGAAGCAAGGCCATGGAGGGGGACTGTCTGAGCTGCATCAAGTACCTCATGTTCGTCTTCAACTTTTTCATCTTTGTAAGTATTGTGAAAGCACACGGCTGTTTCTTTCTCTTTTACACATGTTAAAAGAAGGCCTTCAGCTGGTTTTATTAGTTGTTTTCCTGCTGTGCTGCTATTTCAGTAGCAGTATTTATGTTCTGATTTTATACAATGAAATGAGTTTGACAACAGGTTTATTTAAGTTTTTTTTTTGGGAGCTTCAAAAAAAAAATATTTTTATTATTTCAGTTTGCAATCGCCCCCAAAAGGTGGCTGCTCCCTAGAAACGATTTAATAAGTATTCTGCAGTTACACAATCCTTCTTCATGTGTGATGCGATCAACTTTAATCAAATCAACTCTTATAGACTTTGCTATACAGGTATGTATTCAGTTGAATGCTGTATTGTGAGTGGTGCCAAATGAAATCTTCACAACCAAAACTTTCTCTTTCCTCTCTTAACCATAACTGAAAGCCTGCAGTGCTGAATCTCTTCTGCTGCAGGGAGGTATTTTCGATGTGTATCTGTCAGTTCCCCACTCTCCATCTCCCAGACTCCTGGGCTTCTGTCAGTGTCTGTCAGGAAGCCGTGCAGTTATGCAAGCATCTGGCTCAGACTGACAGATGGCTGATATGACAGGAAGAAAGGAACGCAGGTTTCACAGGCCAGAGAGGAAGAACAAGAGCCTCTTATATTTCCTACAGAAAACATAGTGAAAGGTCTTCCTAGCTGCAGCCCATTGCAGATAATGGTGTGCTGGCAGGTGTTTAACTTCGCTCTGATTGGATTTTCCCCTCGTTTCGGAGAGTTTGAGGGCGGGATGTACACAGCGCCCCCTATTGAAAATGACCGCCAGAATAGTTCCTTTCCCTTTCTCTCTTCTTTCATGTGCCGCTCTGAGAAATCATACCAGCTTCTTTTAAAAGGATGATTTGTGTGCAGCCAATAACTTATCCAAATACCTAAACAGCTATATCTGTGAATGCTTTGAATGCTTCCTTAGCTCAACAGACAGAATTAAGATATTTACTTATTTTGCTACTGCAGTTTTATGAATTTTTGTGAAGCGTGAGGAACTATAATAAAGTGCGCATTTCTCAGCGGGGGAGGGAAGACAAGATGGACCTCAGGCAGGTGTGTCCCCATGTTGCTCCCTGGTGCTGAGCTCCGGTTGTTTTCTTGCAGCTTGGGGGCTCCTTCTTGTTGGGGGTGGGCATCTGGGTGCTAGTGGACCCCACGGGATTCCAAGAGATTGTGGCTGCCAACCCCCTGCTCTTCATAGGCGCCTACGTCATCCTGGCCATGGGTGCCATGCTCTTCCTGCTGGGGTTCCTGGGATGCTGTGGGGCGATCCGGGAGAACAAGTGTCTACTTCTCTTCGTAAGTACACTTCAGACCCTCCGAGACAACACAGACCTCATAGCAGACATCTGGCCTCCTTTCTTTTGCAGAGTTCCCATTTGTAATCAGTTATTTCATCCAAATTCCCAGTGGTTATTCAAACATGGGTAGTGGGTTAGGTGTATGTCTTCTGTAGTTTGTAGTGTTTTTTTATTGTCTGATACAGTAGGTGTATTAACAACGTCCTTGGTAAAACACTGCTGTTTTATTGTTAGGAAAAAAGGTTTTGACACATTTGGCTCCGTAATAATGCTGTGTTTGTGAGGCTTCTTCTGGAAAAGCACTTTGCTCAAGGATTCTGCTGGTTTCTTTTAAAATATATACAATCAAGTGTCAGAGAAACACAAAACAGTTGGTAAATGAGAAGAAGCCGTTCAGCCAACCCAACTGAATTTCAGCCCAGATGTTTTGAAGATGACTACAGTAAGGACATAAATAAAAAATAAATCAAGCTAAATATATCTTGTAACAAAAAGTTGTATTTTCAATGTTTTGTATGAAATACATAGCCAATTATCTTGCAATATTTTATAACACCTACATTTTTATTTTCTTAAATAAAATATCTATCTTGTAGGATTTATAATTGGAGAAAGAGTGAAGTAGTGAAGGGGTCGGCAGGGTGGGATGAAAGGGATTCATACTGTTCTTGTATTTTTGTATATCACTGTCTGTTTGAAACTATTTTTGTGAAAACCTGATAAACATATTGATTAAGAAAACAGTGAAATAATGATTTTGGTGGGGGAATATCTAAAGTCTTGGTGCCAGATAATCGTTTCATTTGAGGAGCAATTAGTCCGTCTTAAAATATCATGAAGGAGTCTGTGTGGAGTAGTGTTTACGACTTTAGACTCCTAATTGGCAGGTAGTGAGATCAAATCCCATGTCAGGCAGTGCTGTTGTGCCTTTCAGAAAGGCACTTCACTCAGTAAATTACCCAGCAGTATAAATGTGTACAAACGACAACTACTTTGGATAAATGTGTCGACCAATGTGTAGTATTAGACACTAATACTAGTGTTCTCTCTCTTCCTCCAGTTCTTCATGCTAATTCTCATCATATTCCTCGCAGAGCTGGCAGCTGCCATTCTTGCCTTCATATTCAGAGACCACGTGAGTCTTTTCTGTAATTCACCTGGAAAGTGTTATTCCAAAAACTGAACCACTTGTAAAGGGGGTCTAAATCACAAAGCGATCGAGGTTCAGGTCTGAGGAACAAAAAAAGGCATGTTTTGTGTCATATTGTCTACCGTGACAAAGAGAGGAGATAATGTGTATGCATTTTTTTTTCTGCAAGTAACAGAAACAACACTAAATGTAATACTTAATATTGAAAAAACAACAATATTTACGACCTAAAAATATCAGAAAAACAAACTGACATCAATTTTGAGGACTGTTTTGTTTCACACTAGCAGCATTCGGATCTATGTGCCTTTTGTTTGGGTTCTTGTTAGCCCTCTAAGGTCTGCCATGACCTTGAACAATTAGACTATTTTTTTCCCTTCAAATGCCTCCCCTACGTTTTGAATTACATTGTTTCTGTGCTCTGCTAGCACTTTCGCCAATAAAGGGGAAAAAATCTCCCTATTTTCTCTGGAGACAGCACTCTTAATCATCCTGCCACTCCTCATGGTCACTTACCAGTGTCTGCATCATCTCTCTCTCTCTCGCCAGCTAACGAGAGAGTACTTTACAGAAGAGCTGAAGACGCACTATCAGGGCTACAACAACACTGACGTCTTCACTGCCACGTGGAATGCCATTATGACCACGGTGAGGCTGGTTTATTCTGCTGCGGTCCTCAGTAAAAGAAGAAAATGCAAAACTGCTGCAAGTAGTCTCTACTGATCTCTTGACAGAGACTCTGAAGAGTTTTGTTTTTATACTGTACATAGGCTTTTTTTTTAGTTTTTAGTTTTTCTGTAGCAGTATTCACATGAGTGCCCTTGCTTCATTTATGCTTCAAGAAGTCCTTAGTATAGTACAGTAAAGTCCTTACAATATTATTCTGTATATACAGTAGGCCTGAAGTTGCTTTTATAGAGGTAGGAGTGCAGTATTCTACTGTTCTCATATTGCAATTATAACCACGTAGTGTAAAGTGATTTTGGACTTCTTTCCAGTTTGACTGCTGTGGAGTGAACGGTCCTGATGATTTTGAGAATGGCCTCTTCAGGAACATCAATCCCAATGATGTGGTCCCAGAGGCCTGCTGCCAGAGGAACAGTCAATCCACAGACGAGACCTATATCAGCTTAGAGGAGTGCCTCATGGGTAGCCTGCTGTTCCGCAACAACAAGGTGACACATGCTCAGCCACGCTTTCAGACACTTCAGCTTTGAGGGGCAACTGTCAGTCCACAAGAGTCAGGGATTTACATAGTATTAGACAAGAGATTCTCAAATGATTACTTGAGAAGTAGTGTAGGTCGTATCTGGCTCTCTGCCCCTTTGTGGGTTTCTCTCACTTTGTCACATCTCTGGTTGATGGGAGGATGTGTGTGTTGTTGAACATGACACGTTATTGTCATGTCCTTCTTGTTCTACACGGCTGCTTCCGCTGAACCACGATATGAGCAGCCCATAAACAACAAACACTGGAGGACTCTTTCTGGGATTTCATCTTTTGCAAAAACAGTTTCTCGGACATACCTACTTTCCAGCTATGTGAACCCCTCAGCTCTTTTTAAAACTCTCAAAAAAAAACCTACTTAGCTAAGCATTCAGTGCCAGTTCAGCTGTTGATCCTTTGTGTAAATCTTGCGTGTATAATGAAACAAGCCACAGACTGTTGCCATTGAGACAGTGACATTTGGTGCAAGTTTTTGCTATATCTGTCCAATTGCATTGAAGAAATGGGTCACCATTTAATGCACATCAAAAATAAAAATCTGGATCGGTGATGCAAAGCTTTCACATATAAACTAATAACTGGTGAAAATGGGAGCTGATGTAATATCATGGGAGCCTCTTTAGCCTTTCAAGTCCTCATAGTGCTTTTCCATGTACTTTAGCGTGAGGGCAACCAAAGGACAGCTTGATAATTCAGCAAAATCTTGAAATACACAAAAACTACAGGACTTTTAACTTATGAGTCAAAATATGCTATGTGCACTGTATCCCTGTTTTTGTTACATGACCAATCTGTTCCTGGTTTTCATTTGATTCAAGACTGAGAGGAAGACTTTTAAAAAGAAAAGTGGTCTGTTAGTGTAAGATTGTTGCTTTTAAAATTTTATCGTAATCTTACTCTACTTTTAAAGTTTAAAAGCAGTTTCCTTATTTTTAGGGTTATTTGTTTTTATTTGTTCTAGTTTCTTAATTATTCTTTATATGGAAGTAGTTTCTCAAATGCAGAATTTACTAGTTTCCATCCATACATTGTTTTTGGTTTTTACCAGCAGTAATGCACAGGGAGAAAGCTTCTGCTTCATAGAGGAAAGGCTAATATTGCACTCTCGCTGTTTTGTATCGTACATTAATTCCTTGTTTTTTTTCTCAGTTTGACATGTACAGGGAAGCTATCTGTATCAAGAATGGTGCTACTCAACCAATCACTTTCATCTATCACATATTTATGTTATGAGCACCAACAAAAATGCTAATACATTTATCAGTAAGATATCTGCATATTAAGTGAGAAACACTTGGATTACCAGCTGTCAGTAAGAGTTGTAAAGACAGGTGAAATGCCCCAGTTACCTGCTATAATGAAATGGAGGATAATACTAGGCTTTAGCCTGTCTTTCTGTCATACAGACAGAGATGTAGTAATGCAACCCAAATGAGATTTGGAGGTAAACCTTCTTATTGATTTAAGAACACAATTTTAAAGCGCTTCACTCAGTTCCACTGTTGTGTGGTTTTGGGATGTAGCTGTGGCTTAATCTTTGCGGTTAGTGATTTAATTCTCCCTATCTTTTTTTAAGGGGTGTTACACCGCAGTTGTGGACTACTTTGAGACATATATTTACCTTGCTGGAGCACTGGCCATCGTGGTGTTGACAATTGAGGTAGGATTCTCTGCTCCATGCATTGTCCCTGTTCCTTGGTGGACCAGAATTAACACAGAAAAAAAACTTCTGACAGCCCAAGTAATTATGCTCCTAGAGAGCGCAGACTGTGGTGTTCACCTTGTATAAATAATGTCATACAGGAGATACAATTTTTTAGAGAATTCTTGTGTGTTTTTTTTTCATTTGACTGTTTATTGTTATATATGGTCTCATCTGTGTATTTACTGTTTTAAATAACAATATGTATTTGAAAACATTGTTTGCCTGCATTCTGCTGTCAGAACCAGGAGGCATGCAGTGAAATTGTACAGAACCATGTTACTTTTAATATAGACTGCTTTTGCATTGATCTCATGTTTACTTGTCTTATCATCTTTTCTTCTCCAATATTTTATTCAGTTTGTGTCTCTTAAATATTTGGACTACTGTACCTATAATGGTCGTGAATGTGATTGCAGCTGTCATTCATTTATCTGTGCTATCAAGCATTGAGACTGTAGTTCAGTCTTAGGCATGCAAGCACTTTCATGTCTGATATTTTTTACATGAAGGCTAAGTATTCTTCTGCAATTCTCCAATGTTTCACTTGCACAGCATACCATATGGATTAGAAGCAAACTTGGCTTAGGTTTCTGTTATCTTCTTCTTTGTGCTGGAGAAAGTGCAGAGAGTTTTTGTAGTCTATACTGCGAGAAAATGCTCTCTAACCATTGAATTAGCACTACTGGACACTCAAACTGCAAAGAGACTGACCTCCTTTCTCTTTCTCCGCAGCTTTTTGCCATGGTGTTTGCGATGTGCTTGTTTCGTGGAATCCAGTAGATGGCACTGTTGCAAAGGACTTGTTGAAAGGGAAAATTGGAGGACGATTGCTTGTAAATTAATTTTTTTTTAAAAATTGGAATAACCAAAAGGCTTGTACTTCATGGCTGGAACGTTGAGGTACAGGGCATGATTAAATGGGGGGAAAAAAAAGCTGGAGAGAAAAATCAGATCAAATCGTGATATACTGTGGACCAGCTGAAGCCTGCTACTTCTGGATTTCTGAAGCAGAGGAGGAGGAGGGCACTGCACTGACTTTGGGATGAAGCATATTTATATTGAGGAATGTTGGCGTAGTGGATCAGGCCTATGTGTTGAGAGTATACCCTTGCTGTATCCCCCATCCCCCAGCTGGCTCTGGCAGAACCACACGCAGTCCGTTGCTATTTAAATCCCTGTTCAGAAATTATTCAACAGGCAACAGTGTGGCTGCCACCTAGCTTGAAAGCCAACCTATGGTGCTTTTTTTGTATTGTGTTGTTAATTGCAATAATTATTATTATGTGATTTTAGCTGAACCTTATCTGTATGCATTTGTATTAGAATCTATAAGAGATATTAATAATAAAAAAAACATGTTTCTGTAACCTGTCTGTACATTGGGATTTTCATTCTTTTTCTGCTGAAGAGCAAAGGGCCAGCAAGACCAGGCATAGGAGTTGTTCATCCTTGATTTAGTTAAGATGATCAGACAAAAGAACATTTTAGGCTCGTTGTGCTTCAGCAGAAACTGGTTATTGTAAAATTAGTCTTAAATTAGTGTTGTAAAAGGAGTGGTGAACTTCGTCTCAATACCAGTGATGTGTAATGAGATCATTGAATTGCGCTCTATAGCTACCTGTATGAGATCATTTGAGAAAACCCTCAATGGCCTGTCTTGAGAACCTTGTATTCATGGTAGTGATTAATACTGCCTTTAACAACTGTAGTAGAGCTGGGTCTCAAATATTTATACTACAGTACATATTCATATTCTGTTTTTACATACATAATGCACCACTTACAGGGGACCAAAAAATATGCATGTAAACAAAAAACATTGAAAGTATAATATTTCAACAGGACTTCAAAGGTTGAAATTGAATTGCAATTTTTGAAAACTCTTTTCCCTCAAAAACCCCATTGTGTCTAGAAGGTTAGAAAACTACAGTATATGGCTATGCCTTACACAGATGTCACATAAATGGTATGCTGCATTTCTTTGCAATCATGTTGAAAACTAAAATAGTGCAGCTTTACACACAGCCTGTGTAGGTTGTATTAACAGGCGCTAAAAGGCAATAATTTTGTAACATTTATCTTTGTTTCTCTTAAATGATAATGGTGATGGGTGCTATTCAATTTGGATTATTCACTGCCGATCACAGGGAAGGATCAGCATGATATTGGCGTCCTATCCAACATGTACCCCGCATTTTGAACATCACATGCCAAAGCAGGCTCCAGCTCCCCCAACCCAGCTGGATGAAGTGGTTAGAAAAAGGAATGGATGGATCTCCATGATCTTTAAAGTCAACATTTTTCACTTAGACTTTTTTAGCCAAGGAGGAAACTGAGGTACCATTGCAAACTTCTGATCACATCAAATCCTGGACTAATATTTCACCAGTTGCTTAGTTATATTAATTTATTGGAATATCAACCAAATGTCCATTGACAATCTTATGAACAGCTCATCAACTGATATCTAGATCACCAGCAATGTCCCTAATAATTTAGTCTGTCAACATGCTCAATGGTTGTTCCAATTCCTGCAGTACCTGGACACTCAAAATCCAGAACATCATTAAGACCTGCTGTTCTTACTAGCCGCAGGATGTTATCTGGTAGGGATTGTTAACATTTTTGCCAGTGAATTTATTTTCCTGCACATTTGTTCATGTAAACTTCCATAGAGGCAAGGTGAGGAACGGCCATGGTAAGGATTTATTTATTATGAATGATTAATTACAGTGTCGTCAAAGCAGAAACAACTAGCACAACATTTATTAAACATTTACAGTACAAATATACTACTAATAATAATTGTTTACACTTATGCAGTATAGCGCTTTTCTGGACACTCCACTCAAAGTGCTTTACAGGTAATGGGGACTCCCCTCCACCACCAACAATGTGCAGCCCTACCTGGATGCTGCGAATGGATGATACTATTGACCATTTACACACAGGACATCACTTAAAACATTATTGTGAGACAGGCTCGCTCTGTTCTTCGAGCTCTGACAGGAGATCATGTACGGAGCTGCCAACTCTCCCAGTAGGATTGGAAGCTCTATGGGAATTCTGGGATTGATTAGAATTGTCATTTAAGGAAGAATTAGTCTAATCCTAGAATATTTCTTGCAGTGCAGCAGAAAGTGTACTCTGTCTTCTATCTGAATCTGTTTCTCCCTGCTCGCAGAGAGCACAGCCAAGCCTCTCTGGGCAGCCAGGTCTGTCTGTGTTACCCAGTTTCTATGGCCAGGTTCTGATACTGAGCCAGTACTTTGCCAGGGTCTTTTTCTCTTTGTTGTCTCGCATCTTGGTCAGATACTCAGCTAGTGTGCATTGTCTCTGTAGTGTATTGTAGCATTTCAGTTTGCGTGTGTGTCCCAGTGGGTAAGGTAATATTGTTTGGCTTGTGTGTTTGGACTGTAACTCTTTGCTTGTTAAACTGGTTGGAAATGGAAATTCTCACAAGCACCTTTGTTTTTATATAAGTGTGTGTCTGAGGATGAGTGGGGGAGAGGAAAAAATATTAAAGTGGACTTTGGTGAAAGTGGTTATTGTGACATGGAAAGTTAATAAATACAGAAAGAAAACAGAAATCAGCTGCTGTTTATATCAGAGAACCAGGACAGTCCCACAGGGGAACACTGTACTCATGTATTATTTATAATCAACCACTATACAGTATAATGTCCTCTCTGAAACTCATACAGAGACATAGTGTAACTTCAAATCACAGTGGAAGAGAGTGCTGAGATCTCCAAAAAGATTTCATGATAATCAGCAGACTACACTTGCATTTAAAGAAATGCCTACGTTTGTATTTTCGAACAACCAGACTTCAGCTGCTCTGCCTGTGGTTTTAAATGAGGAACATGACACTCGTTTACTTCTGCATGGAGTGGAACTGACACCTTGCAAAAATTCTCAAACATAAAATTGAATTTCATCCGCAAAATGGAATTAAAAACAGACATTTAGTGACAAGGCTTGTTCACTACATATGCAAACATTATTTCTGAATGTGCAGTGAGTGTTCATAATGACAGTTCACCTCATCACTCAATCTGTGTTGTCTGTCCTTAAAGCAGTTTTCATTTCAAATAAATAAAGTTGAATTCTTACTGCCTGCAATATAAGAATTAAGACTTTATGACCAAAACTGAACAAAAGTCTTCTAAATATCTTAATATACCACATAATTAGTTCTGTTTTGTATCCTTTACTTCTGTTGCTTGCTCAAAGAATGTTAAGTTAAATATCACTTGCCTTTTCTAAAACTGTTTTGACCATCCCCAAGAATTGTATTGCCATATGTGTGATCTAGCTAAATTCTATGTAATCCTGCACATAAAAAATTTTAGCCCTTTTTTGTGTATATTGGCAATTTTGCAGCTAATGTATTTTTCCCCTTTCATGTGTGACTGTTGGAAGAGTCGTGCTCACAGCTTGTGAATGACACCTCTTGTTTCCTTCATTACTTTTGGTAGAATACCACCAGGCCCTGGATATTTGTTCACCTGTGCTTTCAATACCTGTACCTCTTGTTCATGTCGAAAAGGGTTCTGACAGTCTCAGATACAGCCCAGAATGGATGAAAGATGTGGTCTTCTCCCTACAGCGCACCCAAGAATGTGCTACTGCTCTCTACCGTCCTCATGAAGAATAGCAAGGCGTAATGTCTCATAATGTGTTAGATCTGTTCAACAAGCTACTGTAAATGTTCATATAAACCACACATTTTAAAGTGGCGTCAAACCTGTTATGACAGAGAATACCGCATTACAAAAATATTTATATATTTTATTCATTTTGATTTACGTTTTGATTCGCTGGTATAAACTGTAATCACGGTACGACATTACAGGACTCAAGTTAACTTTGATTTCTGTATAAGTCTGCAAAAGGTCTAAAAGTACTACATTGTTCCTGTTAACCAAATTGTTTTCAAACCTGCTGCAATGAAATACTGTAAGGAAGCGTGTTACCATGAAGTAAAACTCACACTAGTTTAAACACTATAAGATATTATTATTACGGTAAAATGTCTAATACTACTCTAATGAAATAGACTCCACATCGCTAGGTGTCACCATTTCCACACGTTTCAACATTATTTAAATTTATACGCGTGTAGTATCTGTGGTAAATATCACGTCCAGGTCTTGGATGATGATTTCCAGGTTAAATTCTTCCTATACTTCTCTTTCGTTCAATGGTCTTAAACATCATTAAAGCGGCTGTTTATCTTGTGTAGTAAACACAAGTGAAGATATGAATTAACCATCAAACGTCAGCTTCTGCAGGAGTTGGGATATATGAAGGTCAGTTTGAACGGATAGTAGTTTGTAAAAACGACACGAATAGTGATGGGTTTTTTGATTGTTTACTTCCATACATTTTATTCAGGTGCGTTATTTCTCTTTGCCAATCTAATCAGGTTCCTGTAGTCGATAGATTAGATGATACGCATATTTTAGGTTTGATTTTTGTGTGCGCTGTGATTTCTGTTTTTGGAGGTTTTAGCGTATTGTTGGCAATCATCCACGTAAGATAAGCGTGGTGCGAGTAATAATGTCCTATGTGAACCATATAACCTAGTTTTCAATGAAAGCGGTAAAAAATTAACTTCAATAAGCTACGGACCAGAATCCCCTTAACCACTATAATTTTGATCGTCATTTAGTAGACTTTTAAAATAGCGGACAGCTGATATAAATTCACGTCTTGCTCATTTCTTGCCTTTTTTCTATTATACAGTCATGTCTGTCTGTTGGGTCTCCACTATGATGTTTGTAAAACAAGTGCCAAATGTTCAAATATTTGCTCAGCTCTAATCTGTAATCTTTAATAGTCTTAAAATTCTGCGATACAGTGGGTCAGCGCTTGATGCTGAACCCCCCTTTAAACCAGAAAATCTTTGACGATGTTGCTGATTGGAAGAGAGAGTTATTGTTAGACGTGTAAGGGATTGTGTTGACACTAGTGCTGGTCACATTGTGTGAGGCATATCTCAAAATGTGGTTACAATATTGCCGTGACACCCCTACATTGTCTAATTAACTTGCCCACAGAAAAATAATTACTGTTACACAGACCAAAGCACAGCTTTAGAGGTTTATTCAGTACATTTGTGCTGTACAAGTGATGAACAGTGGGCTGGAATCCATCAGATAACATAATACTGTCTATATGCAGGATTTGACATCCATACTGAAGCACAAATGTTATTGTTCGGTCTTGTAACATAGTGTAATGGCATAGGTACCTGACAGGTAATTGGATTAATTGGTGTTTATTTGTATTGGCTGACCCAGTTATTTCTCTTCCTTGGATTGTGTAATTGCATGTGGTTGGTTGGGTCTGGGTCGCTAAATGGTGATCACTGTTACTTGTTTTGACTTTTGGAATTGGAATCCAGTGACTCTATGAGCCTTAAAAGTCCCCAAGTGTTTATGTAGCAGAACTGCTTTGAGTAATATGCTAAGAATATATTTCCTCTTTTTTCACCAAGATGTGACATAATTGTTACTGGTATGCTACAATCTCTCACCATCATATTGGGGTAGATTAATCATTTTGCTTTTACCTCACATTTCTGTAGTGTAACAATACGGCTATACTTTTTTCTTCTTGTTTTTGTTTTATGAGCTATAAGGTGAAGAGATTTATGACATCAGATATCTCCAACATATATGAATATAGACTTTAATGAGTTCCACTAGCAAATGTTTTATTGATATGAATGTAACTGATTTCAGTCGTAATGATTAAGCCATTTAATGTCTTAAAACCTAGAAACAATAAAGAAAATTAAAACATGCACAGTAGATTAATTCAGCAGAAAGTAGACAGAAAAACAAAACAGACTTTATCTTATTATTATATATGATTGAATAACTCAGCTGCTTAATTAGGAGCAGTTAACATGCTCTAGAAAACCTGCAGTTCTCCAGGACCAGGGCTGAACATCCCCGCTACACTCTTTCACTCACTCAAGGGCACAATCATTTTTAATTTCACATCACATCAGGTCTTTAAAACTTGGTTGTTTTTTTTAAATATCTGCCAGTTTCGCCCCGTTTGAGCCTGGAATTCCAGCACTTGACAGATGTTTCTCTGTGGCTGACCGGTCCTCCTCTAGCCTGCTGTGGAAAGCTGTCTTCTCACTGTCTCCCTTTTTGCTCGCTGTCTGTGTGGCCCCAGTGGCTGAGCCGGCCAGTTGGGCTCAGCATGTGCACGTCGGTGAAGTACAGCTCGCGGGGACCAGCTCTCATCCCGCGGATGAAGACAAAGCACCGCATCTACTACATCGCTCTGTTCTCCGTGGTGCTCCTGGGCCTCATCGCCACCGGCATGTTCCAGTTCTGGCCGCACTCCATCGAGTCGACGGTGGACTGGAGCGTGGACCGCCGCAGCGTGCACGATGCCCCCGAGGTGCGGCTGCCCGTCTCCAGCCCCATCCCCGAGAGGGGGGACCTCAGCTGTCGCATGCACACCTGCTTCGACGTGTACCGCTGCGGTTACAACCCCAAGAACCGGATTAAGGTACGGTGTGGCGCGACGACAAGCTGCCGTCCGGTAGCTCTGATATCGCGGTGCTTGAGATCCGACGCAGCGGTCGGAGGCTGGAGGCTGGGTCCGGGCGCGGGCGTAGGTGAGCGGTCAGCTGAGCGAGAAATGGGCGAAAACAAAGCTCAGGCCGGAGTCGGGACCTGTCAGGCAGGCAGCAGGTTGAAACCGGGAGACACAAGTGAAATGACCAGAGAGAGATCTGTAGACAACAAACCAGGAAGGACAAGTGGGTCCAACGCCAAGGTAAACAGTGAGCAGAGCAGGGTAATCCAAGAGTCCTAGGTCAAGCAAACGCAGTCAGAACAGAGGTAAGTACGATGAGAACGCCTAAACAAGCGATGAAGTTCTGTGTCTGAACGTCTGGGCAGTGCACAGGCAACCTGAGACAATTTCAACGGTAACATAATTAGAACACATCTCAACATGGACAAGTAAGATCTGTTCTTTTTTTAAAAAAACTGCAGACATCCTTTGCATGTGTTGTGTTTAATTTTTAGGAGTCTGCCGGGGAAAAGGGAACTGTTTCTGCGGTTATTGTGTTGACTGTGTGCTGCGTGTGCTGGGATAGTCTGGAAGAGGCCGTGGCTTTGACAGTGTCGGTCTCTTCTGTACAGGTGTACATCTATCCCCTGCAACGCTTCGTGGATGAGCTTGGCAGCCACATCAGCACCACGGGGCTGTCGCGGGAGTACAATGAGCTGCTCACTGCCATTTCTGACAGCGACTTCTACACCGACGACATGAACCGAGCCTGCCTCTTCATCCCCTCCATCGACATGCTCAACCAGAACTCTCTGCGCATCCGGGAGACGGCCCAGGCCCTGGCAATGTTGCCGAGGTACGCCTCTCGCTTAGGAAACCCCCCGCTCCGTTACCTGAGACCCGTACTGTGCTAGGCCCTCAGATCCAAGGCAGGCTGACCCATTCCAGTCCAGAGACATTCTGATCACCTGTGCTCAATCCCCAGAGAGACCAGCAGTGCAAACGAGCACATTCCAGTCTGCAGCCAATTAGTCTTTGTGGATTCGGATCTAGAACTTCTTATTTATTAGCTTTAACTTGTTAGGAGGTTAAATAAAAGTTTTTCAGTTTTCCTGATGACGAAGTCAGATATTGAAATGAGATTTCATTGTGATGATTGCTTTTGTTTTTCATAGGTTTATTTAATGTATGGCAGACAGAAGCTGAACTAAGCAGAAATATAGTGCTGTAATGACATAACCAGTGGCTCCAGGGCTGTTTATTCCCTTGTTTTGTGAAGGGGTGTTTCTCTTGCAGGTGGGACCATGGGATGAACCACTTGCTGTTCAATATGTTGCCAGGGGGGCCCCCTGATTACAACACTGCGCTGGACGTGCCCAGAGATAGGTACTAAGCCTTCTTCTTCCCCAAACATCCAAGAGAAACCCCCTCATGTGATTCTTCTCTCACGTGAGGGTTTTGTGAGGAAAGAACCAGTTGAAGGCTTCTTGGATAATACACCTAGCTCTGTTGACTTTGAATGTATGATTGTGAGGAAAGGTCAGGCATTGTTATCTTTTCTATTAGGAGCCCTTGAATGGGATCCCAACCGTGTACTGCAAATAAGAAGGTGCAGTGTTCAGAATAATCACTGGCTTAAATAGCTATAGCACCACGTGGCAAAGTGTAATTACATGTGTTAGGAACTACTTGTTTTAAATATCCCGTCTATACTGCAGCTTGATGCGGTAGATTCATACTTGTTTTTTAGCTTCTCATGGCATAATAATAGTAGCTATTTAAACCTTTAAATGTTGTGATTGTTGTCAAGTCAGCATCAGTCCTGGAAATAGTATAATTTACAATTGAAGCCATGCCAACATATATACAAGAGATATTATGAAATTAATCTTCCTGTTGTACAGTGTCTCTCACTGTGCGTTATCTAAAGGTCCCGTGCAATGATACAGGCAAAAGAGACAGGTATATACAGAATTAACAGCTTGAGTTTAAGAGTGAATTCTAAGATCCTATTGGAAAGTGCTCACTATTGTGATGTGATATGAGTTAGCAATTCGTTCCACAAACTGAGACCAACAGAACAGGCAGCACAGCCCCCCACTGTTCAAAGCCTTCATTTGGCCGGAGTCCGGAGATCTAGTATGACGTGCTGGTGAACGGGGAGAACACTTCACTGAGGTTTTGCCCTCTGTAAACAATGACAAGTCTTCAGAATTTAAATTTCTGAATTGTCTGCAGCCTTGTCGGTCGGCAGCACCAGTTTGACTTTTGAATCGTATTCTTGTTCAGTAGTGCATCTGAGATCATTAAAGACCACTAGAGGGCAGTCTGAGGATGGCGGAAGTAAGTAGCTATTCTTACAGCCTCGCTGTTGCTCTAATAAAGATGTTAAAGTACACTCAACTAATGTTATTTCAGTGGAGGTTTCTTTTTAAAAAATCGTACATATGAAAAAAAGATGTTTTCAGATTTTTATATCACACATTTAATTGTGGAATCTATCTTTATAGGTTTGATTGCACAAAGTGTTCTGGATTTCGTGCTTGATTGTACTTTATTATCATTACAACTAGTAACATCGAATTTGGTTTGGTGAGCTCATACAATTTAAAGACATACAATACAAATGTACAACATAAAGCCAGTGACAGACATGCTGTTGGAAATAACTGCTGTTCTCTGTGATGTAAAGCTGTTTTCTAGTCATTTTTGTAATGACAGTTTGTTTTTTTAAATGAATTGGCAGTTGTGTTTTTTTATGACCCCTAATTTGAAATTGCCATTTGCCAGTCACACTGGCTTACTGCTGTGATCCCTGTAGCGGTCTAGGGGAGAGAGGACTGTGCGCACTCGTTCTGGAAAGAGTACTTCTCTGAGCCCCACAGCGTTTGTCAGAGGGTTAGCAGTGATTGGAAGAGCGAGCTGGCTTTCCCTGTTAGCACTTCAGGCTTGCTCACAACCGGCATGTCACAGGGGTTTCTGTTCCAGGGCAAGCTGTGTTGTGTTTATCTTAATTTTCAGAAATCTCAGGTTACGCAAGCTGGAAATGCTCTTGTAAACAGGCATCTGAGTTTCTGAGGTGTGAAAGATCAGTGTGCCTCGTACGTGGGCAAACATAATTATCGTCTTTCCTCGAGCCAGGGAGATTTTTAAGCACTTTTCTTTTGGCTTCCCTCCCTGTTATTGCAGAAAAGGTGAAATTTAAGTATAAGAAAGCCCTGAAATGATGTTCACTTATTGTGGAGATATAGAGAATTTCCTCAGATTAGACAGCTGTGTTCCATTTGGCTTTAAGCCTCATCAAAAACAGCTGACAGTGTGGAGGTCGAGCCTGGGACTGGGTGAGCAGACCAGTGTTATATTAACCCCCTTGATAGTGGTGTGTCACTGCACTGAACAGAGTTCACTGGCAGAGTTTTAAAGTAGTTTTGGAAATAATTGACATTGATTTGTCAATATCTCAAAATAATATACTTCAAATCTTATTCTGAATTTGAATTATGCAAAACCACAATTGTTACATTATTTAGATAGGAAAAAATTGAATTCCTAATGCTTCCATCTCTTCATTACTGCATAACTCACTTGGCATCTTTGGATATTGCCTAACTTACAATTATGTAGTTTAAAAATGCCTTCGTTGTATTTTGTAGTCTACTTGCTTTGAGATATCATCCTATCTTCTTTTAGACATCCACAAGTGACCCCTGGGTTCTTCAAAGTCACAAATTAGACCTTGCTGCCACTAAAAAAAGTTATTCTTCATTCAGATGATGGTTTCAGCCACAATGTGTTTATTTTCTACCGCTAAAGCCAACAGTTAAAATATTAAATTGCTAGTGTATGTTGAAAGTGAGTGCCAGTATTTCCAGTTCTTTTTAGAGTGATGGTTGTGGTAGTCTGAACCCTAAATTAAAGACTGGTATAGGCTATCTTTATTTAGTGAATGACAGCCTTTCTACTTTTGAGCAATATCTCTGTCTCTTGGACTGTTGACCCAGGATGTCCTTCAATCATGTTAACTTGCTCAAGGATGGTGGGACTAGAGGCATGAAATTGCACATTTTCAGAACAATATAAAGGCTGCAAAAGAGAGGAGGCCTTTCAATTGAACCTGCTTATTCAGTTTCTAGTAGCTTATTGACCCAAGAACCATATCTGTCTAATTCTTGAAGAATCCCAAGGAGTCTTTTAGACAACATGCATGCCAGAGTATATTTGGGAGTCTCCTGTGGTTTTCAAATTTCACAGGCTGACAGTGAATTAACAGAGGTCAAAGGCTAAATCGATGCGTAGCTGCATTGTTTAAAAATGGGGTAAAATATTTTGTTTCAGTTGTGAATTTCTTTAATTTCCACAAATGCGTCGGACTGAGCCTCTGGCAGCGTTGCTGTTCGGCACGTGTTGCTCTCCAGGTGTCCGTGTTCAGGACGGCAGCATGGCGGTGACATGCATGTGTGTTGCAGGGCGCTGCTCGCGGGAGGAGGTTTCTCCACGTGGACGTACCGCCAGGGCTACGACGTCAGCACCCCTGTGTACAGTCCCCTCTCCGCTGAGGTGGAGCTGCCAGAGAAACAGCCTGGGTGCGTACGCGTGATCGGGGTAGCAGCGATCAGGCAGTTATTTCCTTTCCAGCAGTTTCCTTTCTGTATGTTAACGGTGTGTCCCACATGACGTTAAGATATACAAGTTTCCCTTGACTCTGAGGAGCTTGTCGTCCTTTCATGAGCTTTTAGTACTGAGCAAAGGTGTGGAACCCAGCTAACCAGCATGACTCCAGTTTTCTCCTGCTCCGGAGTCCGGAACATATTACTACTAGACCTAAGTAAATATGTCTTTCTTTCTGTAAGTAAACATTCCATTGTACTACTACATGTACCGGTTACATATGGCAATAAAGTTCAAGTTCAATAGATGCCCAGAATTGGACAGAAAACCTCTCATGTTTAGGTCACGGAAAGCACGGGCAAAATAGGAGTAGAAATCACACTGCTGGCACCTTATCTTTCCTTTTCCGAAGCACCTAGACATCTGTTTGTATATCCCATCTTTTCTTCATTACTCAGTGGAAAGTTTAGTATTACAGATGATCTGAATAGTGAAATGTTTAGAGATCCTGAATTCGGGTGTGGGGCCCCTCTTCTCTGTTCCAGTCCTCGGCATTACTTCATCCTGTCCTCGCAAACAGCCATCCATAGGGAATACCGGTCCGAGCTGGAGCGGCTTAAGGCGGAGAATGGGGAGGCTATCCTCATCCTAGACAAGTGCACCAACCTCTCCCAGGGCATTCCATCTGTCCGCAAGCGCTGCTACAAAAACCAGGTCTTTGACTACCCACAGATCCTGCAGGTGAGGCGCTGCCTTTTACACAGAGCACAATAGCAGCTTCAGCACTGACTGATTTTTTTTTTCCTTGTAAGCTTTAGATTACGGTTATGGTCCTCTCCTTACACCCTAAATGCCACCGAACTGGTTTGCATACTGTCCTAGTAAAGTGTTGCCCAAAGCATAAATTTGCTTTTCCACTGCTCTGCGTTTGGGTACAGTACTGTACAGAACTATACAGAAAGCTTATAGCACACTTGTGTCATCTGCATGGTCTGTATTCCAGCCCGTGTTATCATGCAGAAACAGGATGTGCACAGACTGTAAATTGCAGGTGTTTATTTCTTTAACAAAAGCAGCTCCACTGAAATTGTAAGCTAGCAATTGGTAATGAAATGTTTTCTGAAAATGTACCTTAGGTTTAATCATTCCCTTTTATGCTTACTGACAGATCAAAGTGAGGTCAATTGTGGTTTTTAAGGTCATTCTGTTTAATTTAGGGGAAAAAAAGATTTAGTATAATGAAAGTGAACTGGTTTTAAATTTTATAGAAATGTAAATGTGAGCTTCACCTGCCATTTCTCCACAGTCTCCACATTATTTCCAGTAAATGTTTTCATTTCTTGTCGATGACTCCAGTTTGATTGGTAGCTTTATAAGCCAGTCTTTGTCACCACCAGCACAGTCTGAAGCTGCTATAATTTTTTTATTGCATCAGATGCAGAGAATTATCCCTTCCCACCCAAGAACATGTATATAAACATACCAGGATATTTGTTGTATCGCACTGCTTTACAGAAAAATTAAATGACATTGGGAGTTATTCATTGTGCATGATCCAGATTATTTATTTTGAAAATAATCATTTTTGAGAAAGTGTTTCCGCTGAGCTAGATCTGAAAAACCATGCCCCAACAGAAGTATAAAGCAACATGTTTCTTCATCAGCACATTGAAACACAATCAGCAGATCTAGGATGCTGTTGCCACTAAGACAACTAGAAAGCTATGCATCTCAGCAGCCAGCCTTCCATTCGATACTGTAGACTTCCATAGATTCTAAACTTACACTCCCTAGGCCACTGGGTTTGTATTGGACCTGAAATGTACAGCTTGTGATTAAAAAAGGAAGATAGAAGGGCAGGCGGTGGATAGTCTCAGAGTGAAAATGTCAGGTTGATACGTTTGTGTCAAACCACTTAATACGTAAAAGTCTTCCAGTGGAGTCGTGCTACAGAATGTATTAAGCGAAACCTGAAAACACCAGCTCAGCAGAACAGGGCACTGTCGGAGCCTGTAGCGCTCCTGTAGAGTGCTTATTTAGTGGGAAAAACAGTTAGGCTTTAACTCGGCGCTCTGTAGTTTGTCTCTGCCTCAGTGTCTAGTGTTCTTTTCCTTGTGCTGCCCCGAAATGTGCTGCTCTTTGGAATGCCTGAACAGTGTCGTTCAGGATCTCTCCACCGTAGCATATGCATATTTCTAATCCAGCCTTGTCTAGACAGGAAGTGTGGTTATCAGGAGGGCTAGGGCATTGTGGTCACGCATATGAGAGCTGTTCTGGAGGAGAGGGCGTGATAAACCCACGAGAACCCCCTCACCTGCACTAGAACGAGTTCATCAAAAGATTTATTCACCATTATCGATTCACCGATCTGCATGTTTCTTTTCGTTTTTGCAACACCGTTGTATGAAATAAGCATGACTGTTATCTGAGAATCTACCCTTCTGCAAAGTTGGATTGAAATTAATTCAATCAGTTCAATGTTATCAATTTTACAAAACAAAACAAAATTTGTTTGAAACAGAACTCCGCTCAATGTAAAGTGTTTTAGATTATGTCTGCATTAGGTTACCTGTTGGAAACTGTACCTCTTAAAAACTTCTAGGACATTGTGGGTCCCAGTCTGGGTCATGTCACCACCAAGCTGTGACCAGAATTCCTCAAATGGTGATTCCCTGCAGCTTCCTGGGCACTCGCAGAGTTGCGGTCCCGTTATTGAGATACGTGCCTCTCCTGTAGTCAGTGCTGAGGCTCCAGTGTGGGGCTGTGTAGCCTGAGACGTGTTGAAATTTGAGTGACTTGAAGGCAGGTGGGTCCTCCGTTTCCTCATTCTGCCCTGCATGTGGTTACAGGGTTTATAGCTGTTAGCCAGGATATGTAAATCTTATAGTTGGCGATTCCTAATTGGGTGCGTATATAACAAAAGTAGTCAATTCTATTTTTGGTTTTCTAAGCTAACTATTTTCAAGACACATCTGCATAGAAAAACGTTTTATGAGCAGATATGTGGTTTTTATCTTTTGCACTTCAAAATTGAAGGATTCGCACTGAGATACTGGATGTTGGCTGCCATTCATCCTGCAGTCTGTGTGGGTTCTGTTGCCCCCGTATGATGATGATGAGGACACTATACTGTGAAAAAGGCACCTTCCTCTGGATGAGATGTAAAACCGAGGTCTTGACTCTCTGCCATCATTAAAAATCCCAGGGCGTTGCATCACTTTCTTCTCCTCCCCACTGAGAGCTGGTGTGTGGGGAGCGTTCTGGCCCACTATGGCTGCTGTCGTATCATCCAGTTGGGGCTGCTCATTGGTGGTGGTGGAGGGGAGTCCCCATTATCTGTAAAGCACTTTTGAGTGGAGTATTCAGAAAAGGAATTATTATTATTATTATTA